AGAAAAAGTATCTCCGACAAATAAATGTGAAACAATGATCACATTACAGTATTCATCATTTCTATAAAGTTCATTATATGCTCATGTTATAGTTTTATTACATATACATAATGATTTTAAAGGGTAAGTAACAGTTACGACCTTATAAAGCGCATAGCTCGGACCATAATAAAAAGAGCGCAAATCGGTTGTAATAAAAAAACATCTTAAATAATACAATTATATAAAATCATAAAAATTAATTATTTCTAAAAAAAATCTTAACTCCCTTTGTCCTATAATATGCCGAGGTAAAAAAGCCGATTACTGAAAAACTCGATCTCCTCTCTTTTATATATGTATACAGGCTTGATAATTACTGAATTGCTTATGGTATGCGACTTTGCATCTTTCTTAAATGAAAGACAGTATCGAGTTTCCAAAGTATTTTCTCTTGTGGTATTTCCTTGTTGTTCCTGTCTATGTATTTTTCATGTACAGCGCGTGTGGTTCAAGTCTTAAACAAGGCCGTCCAGGGGAAGGTGTGCTCACAAATGCCTAACCGGAAAAATGACCTAATCAGATTTTAAACAAATCCAAGCCAGTTGGTTGGTAATAACAGCAGCGCCGTTATGTACTAGTAAAAGAAATAAGAAATATGTTTACGAAATTATTACAAAAGATTATTGAACTAAGTTTAAAGTATTAAAGACAAAATATAGTTCGGGAATATTTTTTTTTGCATGAATATAGACATGAATGTGTGATTATCACGTGTTGCCCGTGTTTGACCGGTCCTCACAGCTTTGGGTTCGAATTTTGCAAATGACTGGATTCTTTCATGCATTTTGGCAGCATTCTATGGGACGTCTGTGTGTGGTTCTATTCAGGTATCCATTTGTACCTGAAACAAAAGGACACATTCCTTTAAAGGGACTCCACTGGGTTTTTGACATTCGTGCACTTCGTTTTTCCAGAATAATTATTCACATTCTTAGAAAATGACCGGAAATGAAAAGCGTTTTAACGCTTTTCACTCAAATCTGGCTAAGAAAAGCATAAAAATACAATTTTCAATCTATTTCAAAGTATATTTCTTAATCATCTTTGCATATATTTCTGTTTAAAGAGCCCCAGCTCATTTATGTAAGAAATTCAAATGTTATGTTTGAGGCTTTTAAATCTCAGTGGAGTACCTTTAACAGTATAGCTGGACAGTCAACATAATGACATTGAATAAAAAAAAACCGAAAAGAAGGGAGTAATATTGAAGATGGAGGCACATAAATGCACAATTATTGTTATAATTTGAATGTGTGTGGATAAGTATTTTTTCATTTTCAAAGACTGTTTAATAATAATAATAATAAAATATGTTATTTAATAAAAGTATTTGTACAATGCTTTAGTTTGTAAACCAATGTACGTAATAACTTATGCTGTGCATCTACCCCTTTGAATATAACTAATTTTAATGGCATGCAACATATAAATAATGCTTAGGAAGTAAATTTAAGCACTGTAAACTGACATGAAACGGCATAATGAAAACATCTTCAAGTGATGAAAATCCTGCACCTTGTGAAGGTTTCATCCAGCCCCCCTCCCTCCCCCACACCCGGACCCTACTACGGCTCTGTTTCAAGATATGTTTTGGGTTCCTAAACTGAGAATTTCAACATCAGCAAAATGAGATTGTGTGATGTGTGCGTGTGTGTGTGCGCGCGCGCTCACGTGGTGTGTGCGCGCATGCGTGTGAGTGTTCGTGAAATAAAATTGTCTGCCGCAACTGAAACAGATTTTGTCACAGATGCTTTGGGGTCAGATCCTGCCCCTAACGTGATACGCCCCTGTAAACACTCTACCAAAACTATTTTAATATTTAAACACGAATTGGACATCTATAACAACGATAAACATGGTTTTCAAACAATTTTTACATATATGAAAAAAATACCGGATACGATCAAGTCTCAAGACTTGGTATACCATGGAAAACCATTTTTATCCCAAGCGTCTGTGGATTTTGTGTGTAAAAAAACCCGGACCCTTTCCTCGAGAATGCACCATTTTCACCACTGTGTTCCTGCGCACCGTCTTACCTTAAAATTATGGATCCTTCCTTTGTTGGCACTGTCAAGAAAAAATCAATTTCTATTTATAGATATGTATGTTTGTTTCAGTAGTCTGCATAAATTCACCAGTGATGGCACATTTAAAATTGTTTTTCTTTTTTTGCTTTTTCTGCTTTACATTCAAATCATTTAATATCAGTGGTAACCACGGTAAGATTTTTGTTTATTGAAATTTGAATTGTTCACTTTAAATTGTTTCAAAAAAGTCTTTACAGTCTTTATTTTTCTACTGGAAGTGATAGCAGACGACAATTCATTTTTTCTTCAGTTTTAGTACATTTTTCAATATACTGCATTTGAATTCATTTAGCTTGTTTACGCTATTATATAGAGGGTATTTAAAGTTTTTCTATGAATACAGATTTTATTTTCATTGGGTGGTATGAAAATAAATATTTCATGAGTGGCGGTAGCCACGAGTAAAAATATAACTTTCATACCACAAGATTAAAAAATCTAGTTATAGAACAAAAACTTGAATTTTCTGTTGATTTTTGTGTTTTTTTTGTATACTTTTTTCTTTATTTTTTTTGACATTACAATTTTAAGACTCATCCTTAAAGTTGGTGTATTGGATGAATTTAAAAGAAAGTGAAAATACGGGAAATATGTTTCACTGCAGTGAAAATACATTTTTACAGTGAAAATACTGACAATGAAAATACGCATTTTTTTGGTCAATATTTAACAACATTTTATTTAATAGTATATAATAATTTAAAACATCTCTTATCTGTATTTGTATTTGAAAGGCGTTTTCTGAAAAGAAGTAAAAATCTAATTTTTGCTTTAGTAGAAGGTAGAAGGAAAGTAATTTGAATACGAGAGGGGGGTTACTTTGTACTTTGTAAAAGCTAGAGGTGGTGGTTTTTGGTAGTTTTCACTCCTGGTCACGACAGTAAGCCACACTGAATTCACCAGAGCACTATTCAACCACCACATCGTTCCTTGGTAGGCTGTCAAGCACTTTACCAGTACTAGTTGCCTTCACTTTCGCAAGGAATTGAAACTTCTGTAAGTGCCAGAGCCGAGGTACAGTGCGAATGACCGTAGAAGGATTTCATGATCAATCATAACGAAAGTGGCTGCGCCGTCCGGGAATCGAACCCGGGTCGCCCGATTTATTGTTCAACGCTCTAATCTATTGAACTAATCGGACGGCTTTAAAAAGCTAGAATTTCCGTATGCCAAATTTATAGCTAACTGACATACTGTCAGCCTCGGGGCCTTCAGTATCGTACAGATCTTACTTGTTAACGATAATGTGTTTCTTCTTGTCCCATATAATAATAAACAGCTGTGGTTTCGTCAAGAATGATAGATGATGTGTTTTAAAATATGGAAATATTCAATAACCAATTTTAATAACAACTCAATCAAAGAGTACAACATGTGTTTTACATCTAAAACAAATTGGTAGATATACTTTAATAGTTAGATTTTATTTACCTGTTGTCAAAAAGGAACACATTATTACACTAATTCAAATATTCGATCCAACTTCGGTTATATGCGTGTAGTTTAAGGTTAATAATATGGAATCTATAAATATTGTTTTGAAAAGTTACACTAGCTTAATAAGAATATATATTGTTATCACATCCGGTGAAGTGATTGCCTTTTATACGAGTCTTTAATAGTCAGAGGATAACTGTTGTCATATTTTTCTCTTTCTTTATTTTTGTAGTATTCTTTACAAACAAGCTAGTAGTTGTCCCTATTGCGTTAAGACGCTCAGTTTAAATATTTTACAGAAACAAATAAATTTAAACACATTTTATAGGGAACACCTTACGAGCGTTGCCGAAAATCTATTAAAGATCTATATTATGTGTGCATTTACTGTATAATCAGTACGCAGCTTACAATTTAATAAAATCAAACAATCTGAGGTTATTATGAATAATAGCCGAGGAATTCATGATGGAGAAATCAGGAGAAATTACTTCCTGTTTCGAGTAATAATTTGCCCCTTCTTATTTCCCCGTCCATGATAACGATTTGTTTACATATTTTTTAATGTAAAATTTATGATTTTAAAACTGTTAAAACAGGTGAAACATAAATCGTTCTTGGTGTCTGTTCATGCAATGAACTATAGGAGAAATCTGTTCTTATTCAGCTTGTCCACTCCCACCCCTTAAACTCTTAGGGTCCAGACCAGAATAAATAATAGTTTTGTATCAAAACTTAAATTATCAAATATGTGATCGACACATACAATTTTATTTGACCTGCATATAAAATATTTTAAATCAGTCTTTTTTTCACTAGCATTTAATAAACTAGTCAGTATGTCAAGTATATATTAGGTTTGACTATTAGATTATCAACTTTCCGAAAAAATAGATCACACTACTGAGACATTAACTTTAAAGTCCCAAAACTGTAACTTCCCCCACCTTCCTGCCCCCACCCTTCCCCAGAATTTGTGAAAATGTGTCCATTCCCAAACTATGGTGCCTCAGATATACAGTTGTTATGTGCATAATACGGATAATCATTGCCATTTTGATGTTATACATTTACATTATCAAATATATTTCGTATGTTTTTATTACATTCATGAAGAAGGAAAATGTTTATTTTCAAGCATACAATTTATTAAATATAACGATGGAAAAAATCGTTTTGTATATGAATTTATGCAATTATTAAAACAAATTTTAGCTGCAGTTATGCATTTTTAAAGTTAAACATATCATCTGAATATAGTGTTACATATATCTATATAAAGCATGTAATAAATATATATCTACTTCTTATTCGCCGTATGCATTATCTGATCCAAACCATGCAAAATTAAATTTATTAAACACCTCAGCATTTTATATCTTATATAGAAAGATTGTCACTGATTAACGTTTTTTTCTGCTCTCTTTTCAGAATTTCAAGGCGACCTGATTAAATTCTACAGAAAAAGGTGTAGTTCAATACCTCTCTCACCGCTTCTTGAAGAAATAGAGACACCTCTAATTGGGTTCTATGTGATGCCAGATATAGTCGCCGTAAAACAGAAGTCCCTAACTTGTCATGAAGAGGAAAGAACTCCGATCAAGTCTTTGAAAGACCTGTTTTCAACCGGAAGTGCTGATCAACAAGCAATTTATCTATCAGCTGATGCAGGCTTTGGAAAAACTGCTTTCTCAAAATATCTTGCAATCACGTGGTGCCAAGCTCATTGTCGTGATGAAAACTACCCTTGTTTTAAGGACGACGAGTTAAAGACGTTATTTGACTTTAAGTTCTTATTTTTGGTTTTATTAAGAGACTGTACCTCTGTTTGTAACATTGACGATATGATCGAACAACAAATTACCAAGAAACTTCGTTCCTCTGCATCACTAGATGAAGTTTTACGTAGAGAAAAATGTTTGATTATATTGGACGGTCTTGACGAATGGACACACCCTGATAATAGTTGTGGCGAAGTAACAGAAAAAATCCCACATCGGTACGTACCTGATAATTGTGTTATCCTTACGACAACCCGACCGTGGAAGCTCGGAGTTTCAAATCTCAAAACAAGTCAAATAAACAAAAAAGTAGAATTGGTTCAATTAAGTGCAGATTCTACGCGGCAACTAGAAGAAAATGCTATAAGGAAAATGACCGGTGTCCATAACGATATGTTATTGAAGAGTAAAACACAGGACTTTAATAAAGTGATACGTGACCGTCACCTAGAACACATGCAAGTGATTCCACTCCTCCTAATGTATATAGTTTGCCTATGGTGTAACAACATTCCAATAGGAAATTCAAAACATGAAATTTACACCAATATCATTGAATTTCTATTATCGAGAACTTCAAAGAAACACCCGGAAGTTCAACCATCTCGTGAATCGTCTGCCACTGAAATTCCAGAATACTTCAAAAGTCATGAATTTTGTACACATTTTTACAGTCTTATAACATCATTAGCAGAACTAGCTTACCAAACATTATTTAAGGAAAATAGAGAAAACACGCTTGTATTTGATAGAACAGTTGCTGAAAAATATCTCAAAGCAGACGACATGAAATTAAGTCTTCTCTCAGGAATACTGTCAGAAAGTAGAAGTAAAACTTTAATCAAAGAAATTATCAAAGTATCATTTTCCCACAAAACAGTGCAAGAATTCTTTGCCGCCATATTTATAAGTTCTCAAAGTGAAACGCAGAAAACTGTTGCAGAAAAATGTAAAAATGTTCAAGACATTCTGGACATGTCAAAAATTTGTGAATTTATAAGTACAATGAATGCTGACCGGATGTGTGCAATATCAAATGATTTGATGTCTGTTATAAATGAAGACGAGAAAACACGCGACATTAGAACTAGGACAGATAGCAAATTTTACAATAATCCATTGTATAACATACAGAAAATGTTCATGTCGTGTTTACAAGAAATGCATGAAAGTGAAAATATTCAATTTTGTTTACAAGATTTCTTCATTGAAGGGGACAACGAGGTGCACAGTAAGCAGTTACAACGTTTATTAAAACAAAATAAAACCAACATAAAATCACTTTATATAAACATCAACATTACTTCCAGCAGTTTACGTGAAATTATAGATTTATTCTCTCTCACAGATCTCAGTCATATACAGAAACTTTACTATTGTGGTGACAGGAAGAAGGAGGCTAAAATAAGTCGGATATTGTTTCCCAGTTTACAGTACGTTACTTTGTGGTATGATAATTGGACAAATGATGAAGAAACTCTTAGTGAAAATATGGCGCGATGTCAAAACTTACAATATTTATGTATTATCAGCTTCACTATATCTCACAAAATACTGGAAACAATTTTCAATTTTATCTCCGGTCAAAAATCAATGAAAAAGTTAACATTGTACAAGATAAACAGTAAAGAACAATGCGGCCATGATTGTAAGAGATGGAACTTGGACTTGTCCCAACATTCAACTCTATCAAAGTTAGACTTGCGGGAGTTACCTGGGAGGCTACAATTAAATATATCAACACCGTCATTAGTTAATGTTACGTTGTGGGACATCAATCTAGATGAAAGTTCATTGTTACTGTCACGTGACATGATGAATATTGAACGTGTGGTGTTGGTGCGTATAGAAATGTCTGCAAGAAGTTTACAGAACTTTATTACCGTGCTGGAAAATCTGCCACAGGCAGTTACAGTAGAGATGACAGACATTGAACCGGAAACAGAATATGACCGTGTTAGAGAAAATATTCGGAGATCACCAACTTTTCATGTGATACAAGAAGAGCGCCAAGAAAAGTACTTGTTGCTGCCATTTGAGTTCAAAACAATAAAAACAAGCAAAGAATAGACAAGGAAAAACATTGTGAAATAAATTGAAGACATTACTTAAATGATTTTAATTAATAAAAACAATTTAATTATGGACACTTAGAAACAAAATGGCGGCTCTTCAAACTTTAACTAGGACACATGTACTTTCGTTTTCAATTAATAATTTAAGTGACAATTGTTTATAAATAAAAACATTTAATTAATAGAAATATTCAAGGAATTTTTTACGGAATTAATGGATATAAAAGTTGGATTAGGATATGGAAATATTTCAAAGGTGAGTGATGATTTTATATTGAATGTTTTTTGTTTTTTTAAATTTTTATTTTCATATGTAAGAATTAACAGTAAACAATAATCTTATAGATCTATTTACTTTTACTTAAAAATATATTTGATATAAATAAATCAACTTTTTAATTAATATTTTTACCATGAATATTTTTGTTCCCGAAATAGATTTTTTTTAATCAAAATAAAGTACTTTTTAAACATAGGCTATATATACATAGGTGAACACAGGTTATTAATTAACCCTGTATTATCTCCTATACATTTTATTAATTTAAAAAAATTAAGATTGTTTTTCTTTTATGTTTTTTTGGGAAATATTGTTCTAGTTAGATTTTTGTCTTTTTGTAACATTTATTGCATTAAGACTCTTTAAATTATTGATTAATTAAGTGTCCCCTTTACTAACATTAGATGCTGACCTGTCAACCAGTTCCCTTTAAACCATAAATTAAAGGTTTAAATTTGATATTCGGCATGAGTGAAGCTACCAAGTTTATACCCGAGTATAGACTTGGGGGTCTTAATTGACCAGGTATGGGGGTGGGGCATTAGCATTTCCATACTGTATAATGTATACTGAGTATATAAAAATTATCTGATTCTCTAAACGCGTAAAGTCTAAAGCTAAGTCCTAGTGGCAAGGGGGGGGGGCAATTTTTTTTCATGATTAAAAAGTCATCTTTCTTAAATCAATCAAGACTAAGGCTAAGGTACTTTGCATTAAACATAGTCTAGTTCTGGCTTCCAAAACTTTATAAGCCGCTTTTTAATATTTCTTGTTTTTCATCTGATGCGGCAACGGTACGCTGAAGACCTTGAAAAGCTAAACATAGTCTAGTTTACCTCTACCAAGTATGTTTAAATAATAGTCCTGGGGACAATGTTTGCCCAACAGGGGGAGAGTATGTAGTGCAGGGACTACCTTGGACTGAAAATTTAGGGAGAAGTGACTTCTCCCTTCAGGAAAAATAATGAGAAATTTAGGGAGAAGTAATCATCGTGATACGGACAAAAGCCCCCCCCCCATGAATTTTCCACATAGGACAAAAGCCCCCCCCCCCCATAAAAAGTAAAGGTAGGACATTAAAGCCCCCCCCCCATCAAATTTACATATAGTGTAAATGAAATAATAAAAATGAAAAGAATTTGTTTTAATGATTATTAATAATGTATATATTGAAGTGATAACAAAGTAATACTATGATAACAGATGAAATAATGCATGCATGTGATACTGAATTCATAGCTTTTCATATACACAACAAGTGTCAGAAGAGTAGTCACTTTAATCATTAGCACTATGTCACCTACATTTCTACATTTGATGTCCATACCTATTTTTGAACACATAAAAACACAACTTTACTACAAACATGTAACTTTAAAAATATTACAAACATGAAGATATAGAGGACATGTATGAAATAAAGCGCACTTTATTGATAAATTGTTCTCTAGTAATCAAGCTCGTAATTAGAATACCCTAACAATAGCTGGGAATTACTAGTATCAGTTTTGATCTTTAATCAATTTCAAAAGACTTCTATGTAAAAGTTGTAAATAAGGGTTTCATTTTGAACAAAATAAACAATTTTATTGAAAAAACATACATGTACAAATATATGTTTTCTATTTGTTAATTAGATATATATAACAAAATAACCAAATTAATTGAAAAAAGGCAGATATTAATTCATTTACTCTAAATGTAAATGTGATGGACCATGGGGGGATTTTGTCCTACCTTTTATTTTTAGGGGGGGGGGGGCTTTTGTCCTATGTGGAAAATTCATGGGGGGGGGCTTTTGTCCACCTTGTCATTTTTAGATGGGGGGGGGGGCTTTTGTCCGGGCGGGGGGGGGCTTTTGTCCTACACTCTTGATCATCAAATCGAGTTTATATCATTGGATTTTTTTTCTAATTTTATTTCACACAATACATAATAACATGTACACCTTTATATGTACATGCATATAAAATATACATGTATATGGCATGGAAAATAAACAAATGTGTATTGAGGATATTTAATGAAGTACTAGTTGCATTTGATTTACATCAACACAACATTTTTTTATTATTTTTTTAGGTTCAACAGTTTCTGACTCTAACTTTTAAATGCAATTTATTAATTAAAATGAAAAGTTCTTTAATTCATAATAATTATCCAAATTCTATCAATTTACATCAGTTTTAATGATGAATATTACTATCATAAATGTAATGGTGATAACAAACGTATATGGGATATTGTAAATCAAACAGGACATATAGGGGAAATAGTAAATCAAACAGGACATATAGGGGAAATAGTAAATCAAACAGGATATATAGGAGAACTAGTAAATCAAACAGAACGTTTAGGGAATATTGTGAAGCAAACAAAACGTACAGGGGATATTGTAAATAAGACACAATTATACGTTTGAGGTAACTTGATTATCAATTAGCTTGCTTTTTATCATCTGCTTCATCCATATCAGGGTCTTTTAGCGATGTGGATTTCCAAGTGTGAATTCCAAATGTCGCTATGACCACGCTTCAGAGGTGTGCTAATTACGTCAGATTACACAATTAAATCTGCCTCCAGCAGTTTTATCGAGTGGAGAAATATACATGTCAGACATTTCATAGAGATTTTAGGGGGGATACTAATCGACGGTCTCCGCAAAATCGACGGTCTTTGACCGTCTCCAAAGACCGTCGAAGACAGTCTATTGTAAGAGACCGTCGATTAGTAGGTTATCACACAAATCGACGGTCTCGCGATGAATTGATAAGAATGATTTAGAAATAATTAATAATAGGTCAATTAACATTTTTCTTTTACGACGATACTTTATTTATGTCAATATTTAAGGGTATTAATGGGGAAAGAAATGATTAGATAAAAAAGGGAAAAATATAAAAAATATGGGGAAATAAGATATTGTTATGCAGCAAATTAGATAAACAAATTAACAATGAAATATATTGAAATATAAAAATGTTATTGAATTTATTAATAAATATCAAGGTCTTATATTTTTATTTAGATCTATATAATTATTTTTAGTAGTAGTTAGTAGTAGTAGTAGTAGTAGTAGTAGTAGTAGTAGTAGTAGTAGTATAAATATAAATTTGTGAGTTTATGCATATTTGCATATATTCTAAAGACCGTCGAAGACCGTCAATGGGAAGAGACCGTCGATTTGTAGTTTATAGATAAAGACGGTCTCATGGTATATTTTTATGTCTACAAAGGCCGTCGATTGTAGTAGACGGTTGATTAGCAGGTTACTATACAAATCGACTGTCTCGTGATTATACATTAATTAGATGGTTATTACATAGTTATTAATTAATTTAGCCGGTCAATAAGCAAATTCTCTAAGATAATGATTTATTGATTTCAGTATTTTTTAAAATTTGTAAAATAACAAATACGATTTAAAAATGAATAAGAAAAAAACATAATTAACATGCCATTATTTTATTTTATTATTTTTTTTATTTATTTTTTTTAAGACAATGAAATATATTGGAATATAAAAATGCTATTAAATTTATTAGAAAATATCAATGTCTAATATTTTTATTTATATCATAAGGAATAGTAGTAATTAGTAGCAGTAATATAATTTCGATGTTTTAGCTTAAAAAATACATACATAAATTTGTGAGTTTATGCACATTTGTATATATTCTAAAGACCGTCGAAGACCGTCAATGGTATGAGACCGTCGTTTTGTAGTTTATAGACCGTTGATTGTAGGAGACCGTCGATTAGTAGGTTACTATACGAATCGACGGTCTCGTGTTAATCTATGTTGCCAGCCAATAAGCATTTTTTCTAAGACGATAGTTTTTTTGTGTCAAACTTTTTTGATGATTTGTAAAAAAAGAAAGTAAGATATTCCTAAAAAAAGGATATAATACAATTAATATGATTTTTTGATGACTGTCAATTAATCGATAGATCATTGTTATTTTTCCAGATTTCTCCTTTTTGTATTTATGAGTGGTTTTTATTTGTATTTTTTTTAATATCAACTTCATCGATAATATTATCATTTGTATAAGTAATAATAGTATAGTCAGAATAATTTAAACAGAAAAAATATTAATTTGTAAGTGTGCACACAATTGTCTAAGACCGTCGAAGACCGTCAACAGGGAGAGACCGTCAATTATAGTCTACAGTAGTTTGATAAATATTGACGGCCTCGTGGAGGCTTACTACACAAATCGACGGTCTCGTGATTATACATGAATTTAATGGATATTATATAGTTATTAATTAATTTAGCCGGTCAGTAAGCAAAACTATCTTTTTTTTCTCTCTTTTTTTTCTTTTCATTTTTTTTAAATTTTTTTTTTATTTTCTTGTTTAAGGTCTCAGATTTTATGTTACATGAACTCCTTCTATATTATTAGTAGTAGTAGTAGTATAATCTCGATATTTTTAATTTAAAAATCTATAAAAATGTGTTAGTTTACGCACAATTGTATATATTCTAAAGACCCCTGAAAACCGTCAATTGAGAGAGACCGTCGATTAGTAGTATTATAAATATAGACGGTCTCGTGGTATGGTTATGTCTCCAAAGACCGTTGATTGTAGGAGACCGTCGATTAGTATGTAATTATACGAATCGACGGTCTCGTGTTATTAATTTATGTAGCCAGCCAATAAGCATTTTCTCTAAGACGATAGTTTATTTGTTTCAATTTTTTTGGTGATTTGTAAAAAAAAGCAAATACGATATTCCTTTAAAAAAGGATATAATATAATTAATATGATTTTTTTAATGACTGTCAATTAATTGATAGATCATTGTTATTTTTCCAGATTTCACCTTTTTGTATTTATGAGTGTTTTTTAATTGTATTTTTTTAATATTAACTTCATCGATAATATTATCATTTGTATAAGTAATAATAGTATAGTCAGAATAATTTAAACAGAAAAAATGTTAATTTGTAAGTTTGCACACAATTGTCTAAGACCGTCGAAGACCGTCAACAGGGAGACCGTCGATTATAGTCTACAGTAGTTTGATAAATATCGACGGCCTCGTGGAGACCGTCGATTAGTAGGTTACTACACAAATCGACGGTCTCGTGATTATACACGAATTTAATGGATATTATATAGTTATTAATTAAGTTAGCCGGTCAATAAGCAAAACTATCTTTTTTTCTCTCTTTATTCTTTTCCGTTTTCTTTTTTTTTTCTTGTTTAAGGTCTAAGATTTTATGTTACATGAACTCTCTCTATATTATTATTATAAGTAGTAGTATAATGTCGATTTTTTTAATTTAAAAATCTATAAAAATGTGTTAGTTTACGCACAATTGTATATATTCTAAAGACTGTCAAAGACCGTCAATGGAGAGAGACCGTGGATTAGTAGTTTCATAAATATCGACGGTCTCGTGGTATGGTTATGTCTCCAAAGACCGTTGATTGTAGGAGACCGTCTTTTAGTAGGTTACTATACGAATCGACGGTTTCGTGTTATTAATTTATGTTATTAAGTATCAAAATATTAATACCGTCGTTAAAATTGCCTATGCATGGTGAATTGATTTTCCCACATATTAAACAAGCAAGACTGCTCTATGTAGTCTTAATAGTAAATACCACACATTGACTTGATTGCAGTAACAAACTTTGTACTAATGTTTTCATTCAATAACTTTCTCCATAATAAAACCCAATGTCACGTTACTTTAGTCATTATTCTAGAATGTTATTTCAAATTAACAAAAATTTATATTATATAGTGTTGAGGATAAACTGTTTTAAACATAATTAAATACACATGTTTACATAGCAGACATATCATCAGAAAAAAAATCTACACATAAACAGATGTAATGTGCATTGGAGTTTTAAGGCTTCAAAATTCAACACCTACTTGATATCATGCGCTTACAGTCGGGGATTGGGGGGGGGGGGGCGGTAGCCAGACCTAGTTCTGTTTGACATATGACATTAAAAGAGGGAAATTGACCAACAACAAAAAGAACATTTAAAATGAACTATGGTTCAGTTTATAAGTAAATAACAGGATATGTTTTCAGTGGATAGAAAGATGTTTGATGATACCGAAAACGGTTTTAAACGTAAAAAAGTTTTGTTATATAGTTTAACAGATAAGAACCAATTCTGTCTTTTGAGAAGACAGATTTATTAAACATTGTTTCACACTTTAAGACAACTTCTTTTCTTTTACAAATCAACAAAAAATTAACAAGGTTTTATTACAGAAATTAAGGTCGTTACCCTTTATATAATTTAATGAAGTCTCCTCCTCGCATGTACAAATACAAAAATGTATAATACACAAAATCCATGTCCAATACAACCCAAATACAAACCACTTTATTTTAAATTGTCATAGATTACATAATATACATTTAACATGTTTCAGGCAATAACACGTGAAAGGAAAGCAACATAGATATTTAGTATGGGTAACATCTTGATCATAAATAGTCATAATAATCATAATTAATTATATGTATTTTTGTTTTAGTGTTTATGTATTCGAGGTGGAAAGCAGATTGTATTTATTTAAAAGTGGTAAAAAATAATCGTTTGAATCAGGGTCTTTCAAATAGAATTCTATTTGAAAAACCCTGTTTGAATCAATCTGTTGGAGCGGATTGTTAATTTGTAATAATGGCAAATAATCGAAAACTGATAAGAGATTTGTAACTTGAATATATTGTAGCCATCTATTTATTACACTAATTGTCGCAATCTCTGTGGGCGGAGTATTAGTTAATTATCGAGAATTAGCCAATCAATTATCATGTGTGCGTTACCAAATTATATTACCCGTAACATTTTATTGGTCATTTGAAAGCTTTTTAGTAATATAGTAATATTTTAATTAATCTATTGCAAGACTGCTAGTCCTGCTTAAATTAATATTTACATTTAACGATCATTAAATTATTTCCTGGCTTAGAAAGGGCAGAGTTTAATTTATGGCTTAAGTCAGGTTTGGTAATACTCTATTTAAACAGATCATAGGAATTCCTTTGGGTACTAATTGTGCACCCCTGGTCGCCGATTTGTTTTTGTACTGCCATGAAAGAGACTTTATGTTGAGTCTCTCTGAAGAGAAACAACAAGATGTTATAGCCGCATTTAATAATACTTCCAGATACCTTGATGATATTTTTAATTTAGATAATCCTTATTTTGATCAAATGGTGTCTGACATTTATCCGCATGAACTACAACTTAATAAAACGAACTCTTGAAATTTTAGTACATCATTTTTGGATCTTCATATTACTATCAATAACAATTCTATACACGAAAATTTATGATAAAAGAGATGACTTTGACTTTTGTATAGTTAATTATCCACATTTGGATGGAGACGTACCCCATGCAACATCCTACGGGGTTTATGTTTCTCAGTTAATTAGATTCGCTAGAGCTTGTAACAACGTAAAGGATTTCAACGAGCGGAATATTTTTATTACCAGCAAGCTTCTAAAACAGGGCTACCGCTATCATAAATTACGGAAATATTTTACTAAATTTTACAATCGTAACTTTGATTTAATTTCTAAATTTAATAGTGATTTAAAAACTCTTCTGCGACAAGGGATTAGCCAGCCTGGTTTTTATGGCGATGTGGTTTACAAACTTCGTAAGATTTTGGGTCATGGTAATTTTTCTGCTGTTTTTACTAAATCATTAAACGTTTTATTAAAAGAGGTTATGACCCTACTATTTTAAGACATACTGCATGTTTAGTGTTCAACCCTTTTACAGTTGGACACTACGCTTTCCTCTTTTGATTGCATCTGACGGACCAAGTGGGAGACTCTATGATGGATAGTTCGTAAAGCCCTTTGGGACTGAATTGTCTTAATGTTCGTCTTCTGCCTTGCTTCGTCGGGCCCTTGTAGGTGATTTTCTTGTTGCTCTGTCTTCCTTTAGGACATTGAGTACTTTTGTTATGGTCATTGGGTTTACTTTTATATGTTTCTACATGATCATTTTAGTGTTTTACTTATTTAACCTTTTGTAACCATGACAACTGTTAGAATTTCACTTTATTCATTTTATTTACACTGTCTCGTTTATAGGAACATGGTGGGGCTAAGAGCGAGGTTTGGTGCACCATTAACCGGTTTAAACTCCCCAGCAGTCATTATTATGCTGCTGACCGTTCCAAGGCGGCGCCCCACTGTGTTCCTCAGATGTATGTCTATGTTGTTTCATACTGTTTTGGTGACACTTTTGCTTGTGTCCCTTGTTGTTTTCTCGTCTGCGGTAAGTATCTTCCCCATTGCCTCTAGTTTTTATTTCTTTGATTAACCCCCCCCCCTTCCCCCGGTCTCCTGTCCCCTTCCCCTTTGAGGGCCTATTATTATTTTCTTTGAGTTCCTAATCAGTTACAAATTATTTATCATTTAATGATTAACGTGTCGTTGCCCTGTCCTTTTTATGTTTGGGGTCCACTTGGGCTCCTTGCCATTGGTTCTTGTTGCTGGGTCATATGGGGGTTGCGTTCATTGAACGCCGCCTTTCCTTGTTGAACTTGTTTTTCATATTTTAAGTTTATGTCACATGAAATAAGTAACGTTGAATGTTTACTTAATAAAATATATAAATATTCACAATTCAGCTGAAATTCAAAATATGCACTTTGCTTTTTTCATCGACAGTAAACTAGTGGAAGAACACATATCCAAACAACATCGCGTGAGTAATTACAATTCCGCACGATCAAACACATACGGAAATAGCCGAAGGTTGTGGTAATAATAAATATAACAAATATAAACTTACCACTTTTTAACAAATATATTAAATAATAATGCTTATAATACAAATGTCTGAGAGCGTATGGCCACTTTGAGGACTAATGTTTGAAATGTTCATGCTATGTATATGATTGAGGAAATAGCAGAGGTAACATATGTTACCAACTGCCCAACAAACATATGCATGGCGATTGGCAGGCACGCTGGTATGGCACAAAACCGTGTTAGCTTTTGCACACTATACTTCACAATGAAAAAAAATACTTCTTTAGAAAGGTCAAACATTAGTTTATCGTTTAAATAGTAGTTCTAGAGCATGCACAATGTTTGTAATCTGAAGAAAATAGCGCTAAATGTAAAATGTTATAAAAGTAGCAAAATGTAAAAAAGTTATATTTTGAATTCCATACAAAATACGAAATACTAAGACACTATAAATTCACTAACTGCCAAAAAAGAGCCGATGAAGACGACAGGTCAGGTAATTGGCGAAAGAGTAACATGTTGGAAACTATAAAAGTACGGCAAAAATGTCATGATTCTGGAAAATATAAATGAAAACATTTCTGGTGCATAATGGGCTTTTAAGCTTGTTTATTTTCAGCATTGATAATCAAATTACATTTGAATCAAATGTGTCACAAGAATTAGTACTTGCATCTTTATTTATAACATTCAACAATTATATCATTAAACCAAAAAAACATTTAATTGAATATGTACTGTATATTTGTGTATATGTTTATTACGAAAATCAAAATGTTCTTCTTCTTCTTTATTATTTTTATATGTAATATTGTAATAATGTGATATTTATGTATATGTTTATTACAATTCTTAAATAACTAATCTTTTGAAGTATTTAACTAATCCGGAGAGACAACATATGGATCATGTGTTATTTATAAAATACTTTTTTGTGCAAATTGACTAATAAACATAAGACCTTTCAGGAAATACATGTAGTATTGATATTTTTCCATGCAATATTTGATCTGTATACATAATTCTTTGCTATAAACATTATTCCATAATTGATTGCATAAATGTCTACAATGTTCATGTTGTATTTTCACTTATGTACTTTGCCAGAGAAAGGGTCGATCCTTTGATCCACTGATTTACGTGACTTGGTCAGTTAGAACATTAGACAAAATACGGTTCCGATGTTTTCGCAAAACTGTTATGCCACTAATGTTACTTATATATTTTGTATACATGTAAATAAAATTTTGATGCTTTTAGTGGATTTACTGAATAGTATTTTTCAATGTATTAGTGTATTATGGTATTTTAAAAATTTAAAAAAATATCTGCATTCATGTATTAATGACGCATTTTGCAAAGATCGTGTTATTTTTTTGTTGACTTCGATGAACATCTTAGTGTTTGAAATTATTTTTTGTCCGATAGTATTTTAAATGAATCATAACACATTTGCTTTGGTAAATCGACCAACTGTTAATCAGTCTAGTAAATCGACTGTTTATAAAAATAATTTAAAACACTAATCCGGTTAAAATTTATTAGTACATATTTACAAAATTAAATTGGTCGCGCGGCTGTGCCACACTAGACAAATTTAATTTTGTAAATACGTACTTATAAACTTTAACCTATACATAAACTGACAAAATATCATCATATCTAAAAATTCAAATAGAGATTATATGTAGAAAATTAATATGAAAATTATATGATTATGTTAGGATCCTTAGATTTTGAAATTGAGTAGCGAAACAAAAACAGAAAATTATGTTAGTGACAATGAAATCTTAAATCATTCTTCGGGTTTTATGTGCGAAATTCAGATTTTTTGTTTGTTTGTTTGATTTGGTTCCTTAAGCTAGCTGGATAGCTTCCTCACGTGAAAGAATCCGAAGTCCCTGTCGGGATTCGAACCCACAGCGGTGAGAGGCAAGTGGTAATTCATTTTTATAATATATAAATTTGTTCATGAATTGTTAAGACTGATTGAGAAAATTGCATGCCATTGCACAACGTTGTATTATATGTCATTATGTATTGTTTACATACGTGTATTTGATATGATTCACGACAAAACTTAACGTTATTCTTTTTAAAATAACCTTCACATACATCAGACATGATGTTATTGGTATTAGTTTCGTAGTAAGCAGATCTATTTGAATATTTATTCTTAATTTTTATTTGAACTTTTATAGAAATATTCAGGTATGATAGTTTCACCCATTTGTTTATTTATTTACTCATTAAATTTACATTTTTTACGGCTGCGTTTTTATTGACGCTAAAAATTATAAACGAAAAAATGTCATATGTTCTGGATATTCTGGGACCTTATAATATTTAATGTGATTATGAACAGATAGACCGGTAATGAAAATAAGTGGATTTGTTTTAACCTTTTTCCCTTTTCAAAGCATTGTGTTATAGCCAGGATAAATGTTTCGTACCTGCAACAGAACTTATTATTTCCATTTGTAGATAATTATTGACTTTTGTTTATAAACTAACTTACTCGATCTATCATTATATTTGATACCTGAATAAATATACCGATTTATAGCTTTAAATTGACAGCAAATTAAAATACTTTCAATTCATGCACCATTGTCTTAGAAAGGAAAATGGTGGACTTCGCAGGCATCTTGGCGTGAAACTGATAACGATCGCTGATTAGCTTAATTATCTCTGTGACCCCTGCCAGCTTGATTGACAGGCGGCGTAATGTTTATTTTCTTCACATTAGCTGGTTTTATTTTACATTGCATTTAAGTGCATTTTTTTGTTGTTTATATTTGCATTTTGTATATTACCAAAACCATTATTTTTGCCTTTTTTATTTGTTAATTTAACAGGTTTTATTATTTTAAACTCGTTTTTTTGCATTCATTAAAAAGTAGGCCATTTTATTAACAGCTATTTTAGTTTTAAAATTTTATTCCAGACAGATTTTTAAAACCAAAATTGTGCTATTAAGAAATCGATTCTCATAAATTTCTGAAATATTTTTTTTTGTAACTTGTCTAACTTTTCTGGTGCAAAGTTGCCAAATTTATTATAAAATATTCTCTCTTTTTTCATTATTCCATAAATTGATTTCATAAATGTTTATTATGTTCATGTTTATTTTTCACTTATGTACTTCGTACTTTGACATTTATTAGCTGGTTTAATTTTATTTACATTGCCTTTAATTGTGTGTTTTTGTTTGTTTATATTTGCGTTTTGTATATTTCGTAAACCATTATTTTTGCCTTTTCCATTTGTCAGTTCAACAGGTCATTTGTCAATTCAACAGATTTGATTATTTTAAACATCGTTTTTCTTTGCATTAAGGAAAAAATAGGCTTTTTATGTTTTAAAAATTTTATTTCCAGACAGAAGTTGACGATTTTTCCCCCATTCTAATAAATTTCTTTAATTATATTTTTGTTACTTTTCTAACTTTTCATGTGCAATTATTTTTGAAATAAATTATCTCACATTTTTTATTTTAATAAAGTTAGGTTGGGCCACGAGAGAGTTCCTCCTCGTGGTGTGGCCTGGATATTACATTTCGCAAACAGTCAAATCCGTTATTTATTTTATTTACATCTACCTTTGGCGAAATGTAATAACTGAACGCTCTCAACAAATTATATTTCCACGGAGAAAAACAAAAACATTTTTATGTTAACGATTATTTTATTTTTAGAACAAAAATGCTTATTGACCACATTTTACCTATTTCGCAATTCCAATTATGTAATAAATCTCGTATAATAACCTAATAATCGACGGTTCTACCGTCGACAGTCTTTTGTTGTGAATATTTTTACATATATTAAGTCAAAAATGTATTTATTTCATTAAGACAATTAACTGATCATTGTTGAATTACAACTGAACAAACACAACATCTAAATTCTATAAATATATTAATAACCATTGAAAATTTCAATTTTTTTATTATTACTCTATTTTTTTCATCAAAAAATATCCGTTAATCACTCTAAACGATTTCGAGACGTTTCGGCCCCAAGACGTATCGGCCCCAAACTACCCCAGACGTTTCGGCCCCAGACGTTTCGGCCCTTTACCAAATCGGCCCAGAATAAGTACTGTATTTTAAACCGATAAATTAATAGCATTTCAATAAATAAATGAATCAATTAATATATATATTTAATCATTTTGTATAAAAACTAGATTATAATAGTAGTAGGGTTCCAAAAGTAATCAATACAAACAGAACAGCTAGAACATTAACTTTATTTGAAAAAATATAATACACAAATTAACACCGATTTGGTTTGGGGCCGAAACGTCCTGTTTCCCTCTAAACTATTGACATAAATCACTGAAAAGTGTTATTGCCTATTGGTCATTCTGTCTAATTTCGTATATAATCTGGAGACCGTCGATTTGTGTTATAACCTACTAATCGACGGTCTCCTACAATTGACGGCCTTCGACGGTCTTTGGAGACCGGGGACCGTCGAAGACCGGAGACCGTCGATTAGTATCCCCCCGTAATGTACTGTACAGCGAAACACAAACTGATGTGTAAAAATTTTAACAATAAGTTTGACGCATTAATTAGTTATATGTATATATATAAATGCACCTACTTCTAAAGGTAATAATCTTTATTGATTTACCTCTGTAGTATCCACATACTGCCAGTTTTCAATCACAACCACTTTTCAATCATCCCTAGAATTTTTTTATATTTAACCTTATTTGTCATGTAACCAAACTGTAAGCACATCTTGTATTCACCTTGACTAAATTTATCAGGGGCAATGTCAATTATGGCGATAAAAAAGAAAATGCTAGCATTTTAGTTCAAAATAAGTAAAATGTGTGTTTTCCACTACTGGCCAGGAACCAGTTTCCGGACAATACCAGTTTCCGGACAAGTATTATAACGGCTTAATTTTGGCTTTATCGATGACGATCTGTATTATATGTCATGAAGATGCTTAAAGGTTTGATTGTTTGAGAAAATAAATTTCCTTCCAAGTTGCTACATCTTTAAAATTTCGTGAGGATATCTTACCTGTGTTTTAAAAACAGCCTTATATTCCTTTTGGGCATGTAATTTGTTCTGCGCATGTGCTATATTTTGTTTATTTCGGGATATAATTTGGGGTAGCAATTAATGCACAATGTACTTCATTCGAAGTTCATTGGGTGTAATTCCCCAGAAATAAATCTGTAACGTATCGGAAAACGGTGTTTAGCTATGTTTACTCCCCTTTCGCACTTCGTTCAATGCTGCCGTACACACAAAAATATCCGTTTCACTTTTCAGTCATTCCGAGACCCATCACGTGATCGTTATTTTTCCAATCATAAACATTTGTCAGTAAATCAGCTTTATTATATAAGAAAGCTAATTAATATGTGAGAAGAAATTTTTTGTTATATTAGAATAATTATCAGTTAAAAACAGATATGAATAGCAGCTTAATATATGTCCGGAAACTGGTTCTGCAAGAGTGGACAATTTACACTTTTGATGACCTAATTTAACCGTTCAGTTTGTACATTGCTTACGTCACCAGGCAATATTAATTGTGTTATCGGACGTAGTTAGAGCTCAGGTTTTTGGTATGTTAATTTTATTAATGCATGTTTATTATTAAAAAATAGACAATTAAAAAAACTCGAATTCTGTCCGGAAACTGGTTCCTGCCCAGTAATCCTTTATTTTCCAAGTTACAAATCACAATAATTTTCTAAAAATAATTGATTTACAGACTCAGTTTTTTGTCAGTCTGCAGAAATGGATATTTAGTTGGACAACTGTTTCAATATCATGAATTCATAATGTATACTGCACTTCAAAAGCTGTAATTTTAATATGTACATATTTTACCATACACTTCTTAATTGGAAGGTAATACATCAGTAAAGTAACAGTCACTTAACCAAGGAAAAACATTCTCTGTGATAACTTTTCAGTAAGCATTCACTAGAATGGTGTCATATAGACCTTAAGATCCTAAAAATTTCTCGAGAACATGCTTTTTCTGTTATGCAAATTAAAATGTACATCCATACCCCAATTGTGACAGCTTTACCACTGCAAATAGATATCAAGATTAAAAAATGGCATTATGATTAGGTTAAAATTGTTTATTACCATTTATCTGAAGTTGAGTTTGTCAAAATTTCTCCATAACACATAACTGATTATATTTTAACATTGTATGACAATTTTTATGTGGTACAGTTTATATTTTGTTAACTGATTGAAAAGTGGTTGTGAAATTTTGAAGAACAGGAAAATGGGTCAGTAATGATTTGTCCTCGATTCATAATAATAATTCAGGTAAAATTTTAAAAAGTTGGTGCATTTATTAGCTAAAATGATAATATTCGCAGAATTGAAAGAGAATTTCTTTTAAGATAATTTCACTGTCAGTTATTGTAGAAAAATCTGTTAGCTGATCGGAAAGAGGCAGTACGGGGATATATTTGTTAAAATTATTATACAGTTATGATCCAATACAGTCATAATTGGTGTTTGGACTTTACATATCCTGGACGTTTCGGTCCTGGAAGTTTCACCCTCAAAACCACAGGGACCCAGCAAAGTGTTGGGATAGTGTAAAAAGTAATTCTAAAAAAAAAATTATATATGTTGTATATATAATATATATATTATATATAAGGTATAATTTTTTTTCTAGATTTACTTTAATAGTTTATTACACTATCCCAACACTGTGCCGGGTCCCTTTGCTCAAAACCCTGGTCTTTTCGGCACCTTTTTTAAATTTGATAAGTATTTGAAATAAATACCATTATAGGTTATAATATTATATATAATATGACACATACTTGCAAACAATTACTTTCATGATATAAAGAAGATTTTTTTGTTATAAGTATAGCTCAGTTGGTTAAACCACTGACTATCACTCCTGAGGTCCCGGGTTCGATCCTGGGTTACACCCTTGGGATTTTTCAGAGACACTTTCAGTGTTTCCCACCTACATAGAGGTGTACTGGTAAGAAATCCAGGTAATCCTCGCATGTATCAGTGCTATACACTGGGCATGTAAAAGAACCAAGGGGTCTATTCAATAAGAGCTAGGGACTGGTTCCCGGATTCCCTTGTATCTTAAAAGCTGTTTCTTAAATGTATACAATGTATACCTGCCTGTAACACTCGTAAGAGGGGTTGGCAGTATCCAGAGATAGATAGATAGATATAGTGAAAATCACAGCGACCCAGCATAATAATAATAATTATTAATATCATATATAAGTTCTGAAAGAATAAATATGATATATAAGTTCTGAAAGAATTATCAGCTATAAGTCTACATGTCATGTATCCCTGTTTCTCGTATTATCGTGGTTTCTCGTATTATCGTGGAGTAATTAAAACGGATGGAAGCGACCCTCGGGACTTCCATCGATATCAGAAAACTTGTCTATTTAGTAGAGCTGCATTATCTCCAGTAAAAATAACGAAAGAAATGCAACAAAAGCAGATTAAAAACAAAATAACTGTGGAAATAATCGTAAAATCCAGAGAAAAAACATTAAATTTATTATTTTTTCCCCCAAAATCATCAGTTTTCTAGTTTTTTCCATGTTGCAGAAACCTGTAGCGGGTCTCTGACACAGGCGCTTCAAATGACGGTCTCACACTACTATGTGTAAAAATACAGCTCAAAATATTGGTTCCACAAATAGATAATATACAAAACATATGAACTCCAATTAAAAACCAATAATGAAACATTGTTTGACCTTATCATTTTTTATTTTTGACATCAAAACAACAAAAACACGTGCAGCTGCATTGGAAAACTGTAGTATTCATTGCTAAATGGTCATATAAATAATAAGTAAACATAAACTTAATATATTTTAGAGGGATTATGTAAACAACAACACTTAACTGAGTTCAAACTATTTTTAGAACAAACCAAATCAATTGGTAACAAACGGTGTCAATATGATCCTAAAAAGTTTGATTACGGCCTACCAAGATGTTATTAAAACACTAATAATTACATGGCCAAGCCATTTAACACTTAGGCCTAATTAAGAGTTGCACCAATGATTTGAACTGGTGTGTAGAATAAAATCATCACATACCGACCAGCCTTAAAGATCCTGTATGTTTTGTGATTGATATTGTTACTGTATGTATCATACACTTGCAAAATATTATATATGTATATAATTATGCAAATAAAACAATTTTCAAACATCCAAGAATATGTAAAATGTGTGCTGCAAATATTTGTGCACATTATATTTAATCAATAAGTTACATGCATTTATTTCTTATTGGAAAATTTGACTTGGAATTTATAGAAAATAAATTTCTAATTACCTCCCTTTATTTACGCAAAATGTTAAATTGGGTAATATCTTTATAAATAATGCTTATTTGAACTTACAAGATTGACAAATCTTAATTTGAGCATCATATTTATGAAATAAAACCATGAAAAAAATGTGTTACAGGATCTTTAACAACCAATCAAATTCCACGATAATATTAGAAAGCACCTGCTTCACATAGAGGGTGAAGGTCAGTATATATATATAAGCAGAAATATTTTTTGTTTTGCTTACGGTTCCGATCTTTCTTCCACTATATTTCTTAAAGAGGTATTTTTCTGGGTATCAGGCTAAAAAATAATATACCAAAATGTTTTATAAAAAATATCCAACCAATTTTAGTCCTTAGCCCCACGATAATACGAGAAAACAGGATATATATTTATTCATTTTTTTAGTTATCCAAAAATTAAATACCATAAAAAGATATTGATTAATTAAAATATGTTTTTATATAACAGATAATCATAAGAACAATTAGAAGTGTGAAAAATTTTTTAATAAAGCATTATAAACACTGGTTAATTAATTACTAAATTAGCACCTTTAGAAGTGTGTCACAGGGTGAGAAAAATGTGCAGCCTGACCGGGACTCGAACCCGGGACCCTCAGAATACTGTATGGCGGCTCTACCGATGAGCTATCCGGCCGCTTACACATTTTCTCCCCTATATAGTGAACAGTTCTGAACCGTGACATACTCCCCTGCTATATTGAAATTCGTCCTCAAATTTCACAGAGTTACAGAGCAATGTGAATTTAACTCTGATCCGTATTCAGTCACGGTGACCCTCTTTGGGTGCCAAATGTCACAGGGTGAGAAAAATTACCATTTGATGTAGGTTTAGACCTGTAATCTTTGTGCAAAATTTCAGATCATTTGCGCACTTTGTTTTTTCAGAATAATTATTCACATTGTAAATAAATGACCTAAAATGAAAAGGGTTTAAACGCTTTTCACTCAAATCGGACTAAGAAAAGCATATACATACGATTTTCAATTATTTCAAAGTATATTTCTTAACTATCTTTTGCATATATTTCTGTCTAAAGTGCCCCAACTCATTTATGTAAGAAATTCAAATGTTATGTTTTTGGGCTTTTAAACTTCAGTGGAGTCCCTTTAATCCATACAGTATACAATACTATATATAAAAAAGTAGCCGAAACGTCTAGGAGGTGTAAAGACCAAAGGTGAAACGTCCAGGAGGTGTAAAGTCCTGAAATCTCATAATTAATGTCTAACAGTCCAAAGGCAAAGGGGATTGTAACGGTGCCTGGACTCTATATTATTGGGGTTATTTGTAAACAAAACTAGGTCCAGACCAAAAAAAAAACAGGTGACAATCCTTATATATAAATGGGGTTATTTGTGACCAAAACTAGGTCCAGACCAAAAAAACAGGTGACAATCCTTACATATAGACCTAGTTTTGGTCACAAATAACCCCAATATAGAGTCTAGGCACCATTAGTTCAACCCCCTTTGTATCAGTCTATCTTCCATGAACTGCTGATTGATCAACGCACGAAAGTTTCACTTCTTTACAGTACTTGTGTCGACCTTATTTTTTCACCTAGTCCAACTGATTGTACTACGCGATGATATCTTCCCTAGTAGAAACGAGATTCTGACCCGGAATAAATATATCTCAGAATTTAACTTTGGTTAGATACTGCAGACCCATACTGAAAATAAAGTATAAATGATGTTAAACTGTTAAATACAGTACACAGTTTATCAAAAAGTTTGGATATTATTAAAATTATATTTCACGTCTTTATGAATAGTAGAATATTTAATGTATGATAAAGACATATTATTTTTGACAAACATTACCCTTAATATGTATGGATGTTCTTCTACAGGTTTTGTTTTAGTATAAACATTAGTATACATACATGTATATATATTATATATTGATATATAGTTTATATGTATAGTATTTATGTAAATATATAAAAAAATATAATAAAAGTAAATAAGAAATAAAATTGTTGTTGAAAAATCTTCAAGGGTCTTGTCTTTAAATGCTTGAAAAACTATAAATTATGACAATTGACATGCCATGTATACATTAGATTTTATAACCCTATGAATTTATTTCGCGGAAACCACAACCTGCATTGTCATAATATTATAAGTTTTTTGAACCAGTACTTTCCATGAAACCACTTTCACCCTTTGCATCTTGTCCTCTAACTGATACAGTCCAGTGATTTTTCTCACTTAATTGGGAAGAGGCCTTAGCCACTTGATTTTGGGAAAAATTATTGCTAAAATTGCTAATTTGGGAAGTAAAAAAGCAAGTTTAATTTCAGATTTTTTGGAAAAGTGCACAATTTTAAAGATAATTTCAATTTCAGGCCTTTTAAGTCTGTTTTTTTTAAGCAGGAAAATCACTGTACACATATATCATGATGTATATCATTTGATAAACAACTTGCTCCTCACTGCTGTAGTTTTGAATCTTGCCAGGCCCAGGGACTTTGCATTCTTTCATGTGAGGAAGCTATGCCGCTAGCTTACTCAACGTTGGTGGTTCTACTCAGGTGCCTATTTGTGCCTGAAATAATGTACTTTCTCCATCATTAAAGCTGGAAAGTTGCCATAATTTTAAACCCAACCAAATGAAAAAAGGCGCATATTTAACTGCTTATTTCATACATTTCATATAATATAATGTTTGAATTTGACATTGATCTAGCTAATAGAATGTTTCCAGATGTCAAATTTGCACTTGAAAAAGGAAACGTTTAGGAATCAGTGAACCACTTGGTAGATTTTGATAAAACTATACCGCAATTATCATTAAATAGTCCTTTTGGCTTTATAAAACTTGCTTAATTGTTTCAGTCTGTTGAGCAAGAAATATTGTGGTAATTAAATCTTGTCAATGTAGACAATATCCTCTGGTGAACAATTAAGTCCATCATAGCTCTCTTGTTTTAAAGTCTTATATCAATGCTGTTTTCCTTGTTTGCAAATAGGTATGTATTTCAGTTTGGTATGACAATAAAAGTAGATACCTGTACATTATCAATAGGGTGTTTTAATTCCCCTTATATTGTCTTCTCAAGCTTTGTGAGACTTATCCATTTTTTTTTCATTTACAGAATGATGTTTGAGTCGAAGATGGTTTTGTCCAAATGAAAGGCAAGGGAGAAAGAGGATGGCATCCAGAAGTTCTTTTGTAAAAGGTAGTACTGTTGAGATTATAGAACTGGGCAGTAGGTTCTCGTCATACGGCATATATCTAAAAAATAATAGTCTATGAGAAATATACATTAGTGCTGTCATTCTGGGGAAGCCCTCATTTATCATGTGTATTGCAAGAGTTTAACATCATAAGGATAAATATTTAACCCTTTCACTGCCATAGGGACGGCCAATGCCGTCCCTATTATTTTTGGCGTATTTGCCATATGGACGGCTTTTGCCGTTTCTATAATAATAATAATAATTATAATAATAATAATAATAATAATCATAATAAATATATAGATAATTATACCTACCTACCTATCCTCTTCATGCCAAGTGGCACATAAGGCTGAAACCAGTTTCCTCCATTTTGGTCTGTCCTTTGCAACCTTCTCTAATTCTTTCCAGGTTTTTCCCATCTTTTTAATTTCAGTGTCTATGTTTCTTCTCCATGTTTCTCTGGGTCTTCCTCTATTTCTTTTCCCTTCTGCTGGTGTCCACTTAAGGGCTATCTTTGTGATGGAGTTTTGCTCCTTCCTTATTACGTGGCCTAGCCATTTGAATTGTTTTTGCTTGATGGTGGCGATTATACATTTTTGGCCTGTTCTTTCAAAGAGATCACTGTTAGATATTCTCCTTGGCCAGTATATTTTACAAATTTTCCTTAGGCAAGTGGAGTGAAACCCTTTCAATCTCTGACTGTCTTTCTGTGTAAGCCTCCAACATTCTGAGCCATATAACAGAACTGACAAGATGTTGCTTTGGTACAGTCGTACTTTGGTTCTTTCTCTGATGCTGCTGGATCTCCATATTTTATTTAGTTGATAGAAGGCTGTTCTAGCTTTTTGTAGCCTGTTTGATATGTCCTTTTCTGTAGCGTTTGTCTTGCTTATAATGCTGCCAAGGTATGTAAAGTCATTTACTTCTTCTAAATCTTCGTTTCCTAGTTTTATTAAAGGTGGTGACGGATGAAGTTGCATTGTCTTGGTTTTCTTTTTGTTTATGTTTAATCCGATCTGCTTTGCATTTATGTAAAGGTCATTTGTTTTCTTCTGAAGGTGGTTCGATGTTGGGGACAGAAGAGCTATGTCATCTGCGAAATCAATATCTTCCAGCATTGATGTTAGTGTCCATCTTATTCCTCTACGTTTATTTCCTGTTGTTTTTCTCATGACCCAGTCTATTGCAACTAGGAAAAGCATCGGTGACATGATGCATCCTTGGCGTACTCCACTTGAAATGTTAAACCAGTTTGATATATTGTTGTTATGTATTACACTGCATGAGAAGTTGTTGTAAAAACATTTTATTATGTGGACAAGTTTTTCTGGACATCCATAGGCTGCAAGTATCTTCCATAGGCTCTCACGATGGATGCTATCAAAGGCCTTCTCAAAATCAATGTAATTTATATGCACTTTACTGTTCCACTCAATGCATTGCTCCATAATGTTTCTAAGGGTGAAAATGTGATCGATGCAACTCACTCCAGGTCTGAAGCCTGCCTGCTCTTTTCTGATGTTTTCGTCTATTGAACTGCTGAGTCTCATACATAAAATCTTACAGAAGATTTTACTTGGCACAGATAACAAGGTTATGCCCCGCCAGTTGTTGCAATTTGTCTTATCTCCTTTCTTTGGAAGCTTTATAATCAGGCCTTTGCACCAATCTTGGGGTAGCATTTCATTCCTCCAAATTTTGTTGAAAAGCTCTTCAAGTTTTTCAGCTATAAACTTAGGGTCTGATTTTAGCATTTCTGCAGTAATGTTGTCAATCCCAGGTGATTTGTTGTTTTTAAGACTTTTTATGGCTTTTATTATTTCATCCATTTTTGGAGGATCTATATCTATATCGAAAGTTTCACCAAATGTCTCATTTATTTCTGGTAGTGTTTCTGGAACTGGTCTGTTAAGAACTTCTTTAAAGTGTTCTGCCCATCTTTCAAGTTGTTTTTCTTCTAAAGCTATTTTGTTTCCATTTTTATCTTTTACAGTGGAGGTGTCACTATTAAACTTTCCTGCTAGTTCTTTTGATATTCGGAAAATTTCCCCCTGTTGTCCTTTTCTTGCTGCCTCTTCTGCCTCATTTGCCTTTGTTTCGAAATATTCTCTTTTGTCTTTTCTTAATTTCCTTTTGGTTTCTTTATTGCTCTCAGAGTAATCATTGGTGTATTTAACGATCAGCCTTTCAGACCTTGCATTTTGCTTCTTCTGCTTTAATTCTCTTCTTTTGTCAATAAGTCTCCAAGTATCAAGTTGTATCCATTCTTTGTCTGATCTTGTTTTCGTGCCAAGTATATCTTCACTGGTTTTTATGATGCTATCTCTCAGATGTTTCCACTGACTTTCCATATCGTTTTCTAGTCCTTCTCCTATATCTGCCAAATTTTGGAATCTATTTCTCAGTGTGATAGAAAACTTTTTCTGTATAGCAGGGTCTTTTAGTCTTGCTGTATTATATCTTTTCCTTGGTGTTTCTAGATAATTATACCATCGACAATAATTATTATTATACTAGCAGATTTGGAAACATATATAATTATTATAATACTAATAACAAATAATAATAATAATAATATTAATTAATAATATAGTAATTTCTTAGAAAACCTTCTGGCAAATAGGTGATCAATAAATAAATAACCCTCTGGCAGCGAAAGGGTTAAGCAGTCCATTGCTTTTGTCTACTGACAAAAAATAAAACGAAAAAGAGCTTCAAATTGTCAGATATTGTGGAAGAACATGTATTGCATTAACTTGTATTTTGTGACATTACTTGAATAAAGGCTGCTTCATAAAGGCAGATTTGTTTCACTTTGTGGTTTCATAAAGGATAACTAAGTAATGAAATGATATGCTTTTATTTAAGAAACTTAAGTCAAAGATTTGAAAAATGAAATATAATTTTATTCCAGTCAGAGTGATGTTTAGCATGTTCTTTCAGATGATAACTTCTATAAAAGAGTACTGAACCGAAGCGTTACAAGATTTATAGAGGATCTTGACACAACTTCAATATTAGATTTGCTTTTGGAAAGAGATTTTCTATCATACAGTCAAGTGAGAGATATTCAAGTTAGTAAATCTTATACTTATTTAAACAAATTAATTTTTTAACTTATCAAAAAAGTTGAAAGTCAGTATAGAAAGAGCTCAGTCTCAGACTTTCAAAAATTTTATCATGGGTACTTGCAATATATGAATTCCTCCCTTTTCCAGATAAGTTTTAGTCAGCATGTCTTTCTAAAATGTGTGTGTTTTAAAACTGATAAAGACTGACATTGTAGATAAAGACTGACATTGTGCTTGATAATATTATGATTTAAGAATGATGCCAACATAGAGGTTATATATTCAAATCGTACAAGGTCCATGACTGTATTTTTTTCGAATACCACCAGTACTGGTTATGCAAGGGCTTTATTTTTAGCTCAGCTATTTGAAGAATAGGAAGAGCTATTGTAACCACCCACATATCGAGTTGGTGTTTATGTTTTTGTCAGTTTATTTGGTAAGCTTTTGCATGCCAGTTGATATCTCCAAATGATTTTGGCTTATTTGAGGGCACAATACGAGATCACAGGTTAAAGCCAAGATGTCTATCCTGGATTTTGATAGAATAACGTAGATATTACTACATAATCCATGCTGTTGTTTAATAACTAAGAATAGTCAAGCATGCTGGGATACAAATAGCTCCTGTTATTATACCCCCAAAAACAAAGTTTGGGGGAGGGGGTATATAGGAGTCACCCGGTGGTAGGTAGGTTGGTCAATCGGTCGGTCTGTCCAGACGTTCGTTGCATTTTCCTTGTCCGGAGCATAACTTGAAGACTAATTGTTGAAATTCAATATAACTACATACAATGGTCAAGCACATTGAGAGGAAGTGCAGTGCACAAGAACCATAACTCTATCTTGACTAATTACAGAGTTATTGCCCTTTGTTACTTTTCCTTGTCAGGGGCATGACTTAAAAACTACTGGTTGGAATTCAAAACAACTTCATACAATTGTCAAACACAATAAGGGGAAGTGCATTGCACAAGAACCATAACTCTATCTAAAGTAATTACAGAGTTTTTGCCCTTTGTTACTTTTCCATTGCTTTCTTTTGTCCGGACCATAACTTGAAGACTAATTGTTGGAATTCATTATAACTTCATACAATGGTCAAGCACATTGAGAGGAAGTGCAGTGCACATGAACCATAACTCCATCTTCACTTATTACAGAGTTACTGCCCTTTGTTACTTTTCCTTGTCCAGGGCATAACTTGAAAACTACTGGTTGGAATTCAAAACAACTTCATACAATTGTCAAACACAACCAGGGGAAGTGCAATGCTTAAGAACCATAACTCTATCTAAAGTAATAACAGAGTTATTGCCCTTTGTTACTTTTCCATTGCTTTCTTTTGACCTAACCATAACTTGAAGACTGTTGGAATTCATTATAACTTTATACAATGGTCAAGCACATTGAGAGGAAGTGCAGTGCACAAGAACCATAACTCCATCTTGACTTATTACCGAGTTATTGCCCTTTGTAACATTTTCATTGCTTTAATTTCTCTGGAGTATAACTTGAAGACTAATGGTAGGAATGCAATATAACTTCATACAATGGTCAAGCACATTGAGAGGAAGTGCAGTGCACAAGAACCATAACTCCATCTTGACTAATTACAGAGTTATTGCCCTTTGTTACTTTTCCTTATCCAGAGCATAACTTGAAAACTACTGTTTGAAATTCAATACAACTTCATACAGTTGTGGATTAAAAGGAAGTGCAGTGCACAAGAGCCATAACTCCCTTTTGACAAAATACAGAGTTACTGCCCTTTGATACTTTTCCTTTTCCGGAGCATAACTTAAAACATACTGGTTGGAACTCAAAACAACTTCATACAATGGTCAAGCACAATAAGGGAAAGTGCAGTGCACAAGAACTATAACTCCATCTTTAGTATGTATAGAGTTATTGCCCTTTGTTCCTTTTCCTTGTCTTTCTGGACTTATTACAGAGTAATTCAATAAAACTTCATCAATGGCCAACCACATTGAAAGGAAATGCAGCATACAAGAACCACAACTATCTTTAATTGCCCACAACCATAACTCTATATTTCAATTCTTTTACAAGGTATTCTGTTACTAGTAACATCCTCATTTCCCAAGCAGTCTTGTGGGGGTATTAATCACATTTAGTGATAGTTCTAGAGTAATGATGGAAGAAGTTGTTTCACCCTGTTAGTTAAAAAACCGACACACACACACACACTTACAAAACTCATAAACTAATTATCAAATCAAATAATGTTGAACATCACTAAGATAAGATAAATATTTTATATGAATTACTGCAAGCAGTACATTGATCTATTTAAGGAGCTGCCTTTAACTTCAACAAGGGCAAGAGAAATATTATCTAAAGTTGCCTCAAGGGGTGAAAAGGGATACAGAATATTTAAAAAGTTACTGAGAGAGTCAAAGCAAGAACATTTAGCAGACTATTTGGGTAGGCAAGAGATAGATTTAGAGAAAAAATTGATGGCTGAGAAGAAAAATGAAGATAAAGGAAAGCAAGTTGAGTTGCAAGTTCCTGCTGCAACTGTAAAGGCTAATGCAGGTAAATCAAATCTAAATAAACCTGACTGTCTTTCATTTTGACTGGTCAGTTCTTATTCCAATTGAAATATATTTCACAGAATGAATACCAGATAAAATATTTTCACCAGTGGTTTAGCTACGATTGAAATTATAAGATTTTGTGTTCACAAGTGAGATCTTACATACAAAACAAGCAAACTTACATTAATTAATGCTTTTTGAGAGGTTTAAGGTCATTTTGACAGATTTTTCCAGGATAATGATATATTTGTGCTGTCTTTTTTGATGTCATCAAAATATTACATCATATTTTTTTTGTTAAAAATTAATCTATAAAACTTAATAAACTTTGTAATATTTTTAAAATAATATGTGCAGATACTACTGTGCTTTCCTATCGTAATAAAGCATATTTTACTCATGATGGAGTGTATTTGAATTTCCGTTCTGATTATCACAGTTTCCATTTTTTAAAGATATACTCTTTTCATACACATTTAGATATAGTCTGGTTACTGTGAAATTCATATTTTATAATTTCACTGTTCACTGTCCAGAAATGAATATTTCTGTTATATGTAAGAGAAAGATATTTATTTATATATTTCAGAAGAAGAGATAATCCCAGATGATAAAGAATTAATAGCCATTTCATCCCACATTGGAATGAATTGGGAGATGATTGGGCCTTTTCTTGGGGTGCCATCTACTACTGTTGATCAGATATGTATGGACAACTCGACAACAAGAATGAAAATATACAGGTTGCTTTATGTTTGGCGTGGAATGAATGGGTCTGAAGCTACGGTGAAAAATCTTTTGTTGAGTCTGAAAAATGTTCCAGATGCTGTAAATATCAATTGGAAAGGTCTTGAAAGTAAATATCTTTTTATTTTATTTATTTATTTTGGGTAAATAATTGTTATTATAATATAATTTTAAGTAATTGTTTCTGTAGCTTTGATATTCAGCGATTTTGTGAAGAAAAAAAGGGTTGTTGAGAAATCAATAATTACAGGTTTTCTACCCAGGAAATACAGTTGGATGGACAGACTGCCAAGAATTGTCCAAAAACACGTGAACATTGGCGTTAAAAGTTATCTAAGTAATTGGCCAATTTAATGGTCATCAGAGCTAAAATCAGAAAATTTTAAACCATTAATTTTCCTTTCACAGATCTATTATCGTTTAAGACAGTCTGTAGCTTCTATTAGGGATATTCTATCCAATTTGTTTACATAAAAATATAAATAGTGTATCACCTTCAGAATAGGTCAGCAGCAAAACCAGCAGGTTTATCCACTTTTTAATCCCCCATATAGGCCCTTCTGAGCCTACATTCCCCACATCTACCCCCCACTATTTTTTAAATAAAAGAACTTCTGCCAAAAAAGATAAAAGAAAAAATAACTATTAAACTTTACCTTTAAAAGCAGGGAACCCATAACATTTGCCTTACAGCATGAATATTGTTTCTTAGGAATACAGTTCCTTTACATTGATTTATTACAAACTTCTTTCAATAATACATCATGACCCGCTGCCAGGGTATTAGACAGCAATGGTTTCCATGTAGTTCTTTATACTAAATTTTGATAATCTTACATATTTGCTTGTTTGGTTGCACTTTGAAATTATGTTTGTGTCTTTTACAGAAACAGTCAACGAATTTGGCCAAAAAGAAAGGTAATGAATTACTATCATCTGTTTATTTTAAAAACTTTTATTTCACAGTGGAAATGTTTACTGTATCAAAACTAAAATGATATATATAATGTCAAATAATTGTCTAGCAGGATTATCATAAATTAACTGGTTTTTTTTTAACAGTTAAAATTCAAGGTAAGAATTTGTTTTTAGCTTGACTATTCGAAGAATATGAGAGCTATTGTAGTCGCCCCGGCGTCTGCGTTGGTTAAAGTTTTTTGTAAAGTCAAATATCTCAATTATTACTTGAGATATTCAATTGAAGCTTACAATACTTATTTATAGTAACAAGCTACATCAGATTGACAAGTTGGATAATTCTGCCTACAATATTGACAGAATTATGCCCCTTTTTAACTTAGAAATTTTGGTTAAAGTTTTTTGTAAAGTCAAATATCTCAATTATTGCTTGAGATATTCAATTGAAATTTAAAATACTTTTTTATAGTAACAATGAACATCAGTTTGCAAAATTGCATAACTCTGCCTGCAATATTTGCAGAATTATTTGCCCCTTTTTAACTTAGAAATTTTGGTTAAAGTTTTTTGTGAAGTCAAATATCTCAATTATTGCTTGAGATATTCAATTGAAACTTACAATACTTATTTAAAGTAACAAACTTCATCAGATTGACAAGTTGGATAACTCTGCCTACAATATTGACAGAATTATGCCCCTTTTTAACTTAGAAATTTTGGTTAAAGTTTATTGTAAAGTCAAATATCTCAATTATTGCTTGAGATATTCAATTGAAATTTAAAATACTTTTTTATAGTAACAATGCACATCAGTTTGCAAAATTGCATAACTCTGCCTGCAATATTTGCAGAATTATTTGCCCCTTTTTAACTTAGAAATTTTGGTTAAAGGTCTTCAAATATATTTACTTGAAACTTTACACATGCACTTAGGGTCATAATTGGAGGGTCATAATTGTATGTCACTGACCAAGTTCCATAACTCTATCTTGCATTAAGGCTGATTTTTCTCCCCTTTTTCAACTTAAAAATTTCATGGTAAAGTTTTGCTTGTAAGCTGTTATCTCAATAACTACTGAAGGGTTTGTGCCTTTTTTGGGACAATTTTATGCATTCATAATAATAAAGCAGTTATTTACTTGATAAAACATCTTAATAACAAGCCTTTGTACCTTTTCTGTCAAATTTATGTATTCATAGGTAATTAGTATAATTATACTCGATAATACACCCTCGTGACATTACCTTCCGAATAGTCAAGCCAATACTGTATAATTAGACTCTCTCTAAGGCCTATAACATGAATTTATAAAAAAAAAAAATAGCCCTTTTGTAAACTTGAAAAATTTTAACATTATCAAGACTCTTTAAAATACTATCAAGCACTTAGAATAGTCGAGCGTGCTGTCCTACCGACAGCTCTTGTTAGATAGTAAGGTCAATCATAAATCATATAATTAATTAACTCGACTTATGATTTTAAATGCAAATGACGTTATTTGCAAAGAAATAAGTCAGCTTAATGGATTTTCATTTTTCTGATACCAGAGTTACAACAGAATGATATCCTATATCTTACATATAATTTGTTTAAAGATAAGATTTAAAGATTTTGACAATATCGTATACCTTAGTTTTGTCTTGTGGGTATAGAGAATAAGCAATATATAATTATGCTCTTTACCCCAGTGACTTACTGTTGTTACGGTGAAATTCCTGTCACTAGGACTGCACAGAAGTTATCTCTGTAAAATTTATCTATATGAAAAACACAAAATATTGTTTCTTGGAAAGTTTCAAGGAATATGGTAGTGTAGCAGCAAAAGTATTTTGCATTCACCATTCTACGCTTATTTTGATTAAAATTCAAAGAGTGAGGATGAAATGTAATCAAATATACAGTCTTCCTTGGAAATTGTAATTGTAAATGCAGGGTCTGCAAAATCTGATTTTAATTTACTTGTCTGTTTTATCTGAAACATTTTAAGCTTGACTTTTTTTAGGAAAAAGTTTATTTTTATGCCCAGTCAGCATATAAATATCGCTACATCTACCTGTCTGTCCATCCATCCATCTGTCTGTGTTTTCCCACCTGTCAATACTGTAACTTTGTCATGCATTGAAGGATTTAAAATAACTTGGCACAAATGTCTACCATATTTATGAACAGTTGATTTATTATTTGACTGAAAAACATGTTTGACAAAAAACGATATGTTGACTTATTTTTTTATAAGACCTTGACCTTTGAACGATCTTGACCGTCAAGGACAAATATAAAATTTGAATTATGTAAAAGAAAATTATTTTTCTTTAGTATTCTTTACTTCAATATTCTTCTTCAGGTGTGTTTTACATTAAAAAAAAAGGAGTGTTGCCCTGCTAGGCACTGGCTCTTGTTTACTTGTTCATATGATAGTTATATCATCTTTTATAAGATAACCATGGTCATTGTATTATAAAGTGAACTCTTTGAATATTTTATTTGTCCATACAGGCTGTTGAAAAACCTGAGCAAGAGGGACAATTGAATTTGGCTTCCCTGGTTATTTTGAAATACATAGTCATCATGTTTTCTAACTGTCCTCATGATTGTATGTAAAAAGATGTGTCAGTGTTTGTTCTGATTTGCATTATCTGTGCACTACTTTGAATGCATCAGATGTGATTGAAATGTTAGTTCAAGAGTTATTATAATTTGATCAATTTTCATTATGCAATTGTAATGTAATGTAGAAGTCATCAACCTACATGTTGCTTACTATTAAATGAAAAGTAATTGTAGCTCTTCTCAATGCTTTAACAACATACATGTACACAAAATACTTACTGAATCTTATTAATGATTAGGAAAGTTGATTGAGGGAAGCAAGAAATACATCAGAAGAAAAGCAGACATTCGCAGAAAGGGAAACTGAAATGCTTTTGAGGAAATTAGACATTGCTCCAACTTCAATAGAAACAGGCTCTAAGCCAAAAGGCTGTCTCTAACAGAAGAAACTGTGGGAGCAATTCCTGACAAAAAACCAAGCCAAATCCAAAGTATAATCCAAGCCTTGGACGCAATGCTAGGAAACTTGCGCACGACTCGCAGAACAGGAGGTTGATAGTACATGAATATGTTTCCTGATTTATCTGGGAAAAGTTTCCCCAGAAAGGACAATGCTTATAGAATCCAGGGGTTTTAAATGTTGGGGATAAAAAAAGGGCTAACCCAAGTGACAAAAGAGTCCTTAATCCAACTGTACAAAAGTTTTCCAACAAAATTCCTCCTATCAGAATCTCAGATTTATTCAAGTTACAAACATTTGGTGAAGTAAAGACAAAATCATCGTTATTGATGAAGTTGGCTCTGATGTTGATGGAGAGAGTCATCAGAAGGCAATCAGAACAATTGTGTGTCTATCAGCCAAGTCAGTTACCAACAGGAATAAAAAATGATTTGGGGGGGAAAATGATTTTAAAAACCAAAAAAAAAATGAAAAAATTGATGATTTTGGGTTATTGGGGGGAAAAAGGCTATTCAGTGGCAAATTTTTTAACGTCAGATTCAAAAAAAAACCAAAAAGATAAAGAAAATTTAAAAGCATTGGGAAACAACGAAAAGGGGCGGGCTGGTGGGACAGAATGAGGGCCCTAGACATTCTTTGGAAAAGAAAATTTCTTTAGAATTTCGGGCAACAGCAAAACCACTTTTTTCCCCAGCACGTCCCAAATGGGGGGGCAAAAACTTCTCATTTAGTTGTACCCAATGGGGCAAGGGAAACCCCCCTTATGCTTTTCCCCTTTACTACCATTTAAATGAAATTGGTCCAAAATTTTAAATCCCCCTTTTTTAGCGGAAAAAAGGTAATGTTTATACGACGCGTCCATTCCCGACAAATGTTGGGAGTTTGAAATTTAAATTTAAGACCAAATTTGTTTCCCGGAAAAAATGTACTAAATCGAATCATTGAAAAAGAATGAAAGGTGGGAAAATTTTTTTATTGTGATGAAAAACCAAAAGGAAATCAAGAATTTAAATGAACAAAATGGAAAAATTTTCTTTAACATTGAAAAGCCCGGTTTTCAAAGGAGGTTTTTGGGGAAAATTTATGATTAAGTATTTTTTTCTCAAAAACCTTTCCACAGATTTTGTTTGATTTGGGATTTATTTTTTATAGTGTCCTCCTTCCATTTCTTGTCCAATTGGGGGCTCACTGGGCGCAAATTTTTTTTTATTGGGAAAAATTTTTTAAAACTATTTTGTTTTAAAAAGGGAGCACATTTTGGGCAATGAATTTAGTGTGTTTAGGTCTGTTTGTCCCAAAACAAAATGGGATTAATTTGGACTTTTAAATTTTTTTTGGGGTATATCAATTTAAAAGGCAAGGTTTAATTTTTCTAAGGCAAATTAAACGCGCTTTAAAACATATTTGTATGAACGCAAAGATGTCAATCAAAATTTACCCCCACTAGTGAAAAAAATTGTTTTCATTAAAGGGTTTATTTAACTCCAAATGCTTTTATAGTGATTTTTAAGGGACTTTGAAACAAGTTGTGATATTTTTCCATTTTTTTTTGATTTCAAGGTTGCCCTTTTAAAAAAGTTCTCCCTTTTTTTGCAAGAGAAAAGGGTTTCCGGAAATTTTTTTTGCCCCTGGTTTTTTTTAAAAAAGGCGAAAAGGAAAATTTATGGACCCGATAGGAAAATAAAAATTTAAAAAGGGAAAAATGAACCCCACAACCTATGTTTCATAAAATTTTGTTTTTTTTCTAAAAGGTTTTATTTTCCAAATATATCTGGGGAATATGCTTTTGTGTAAATAGTATATAATATTTTTTTATGGAGCAACAAACTTCTACTTTTTACAAAAGTTCCGTAACCCTGGGCCCCCCAGGGCATTTAAATTTGGGTTGGTTTGATAATTAAAAGGGGTTTCCCGTCCTAATGAAAGGGTTTATAAAGGGCTTATTTCTGTTGAATAAATTTTAATTTTTTTAAATCAAGAATCTCGAAAAGGGCCAAAACTGAGAAAAACCTTTTTGGGTCTTTGGTTTTAACATTTTTTCACCTTTCAAAATTTTCAAGAGGTCAGTGTT